ACTGTGGACTTATGCAATGCTGTAGCCGTCTGAGGCGGAGCTGTGGTCAAAGGACTCTGAAAATGTGCCAAGATATTTGAGAAAGTAATGCAATTGCAATACAATAAAGGACTGCTTGCTGAAGAAGGGGGTGTGCCTCTGGCTGCTGCCAAGCACCCAGCATTGTTACTTTTGCTTTATTGATTTCTCCCTTCTTAGCACTTATTAGACTTTTAAAATTTTGAGGAGTGGGTTTTGTTTCTCACAGAGATACTGAGAGAACTGGGCTGGAAGAAGGGGATGGCCACAGCTCCTCTCTCCCTCTTGCACACTTGGCATTCGGAGAGGAAGGAGGCTGAAGTCACTGTGGGAAGAATTCACCACCAGCGCAGGGTTCTGTCTCCTGCTGCCTTCTACTGTGAGTGGAGCTCTGCTTGTAAGAGCAGCATTGCACTGGGACTTTATTAACACCCTATCTCACCACACAAATGACCCCTCACCATCTGCTCAGGTGCCTCAGGGGAAAAACCTGGGAATCCCGACCCTTCTCTCCTTTGTGTTGGTTTGACACAGCTTGGATTTTGGTAGTGGGGATGGGGGATGATGTAGGGGGCAACAGGGGCAGCTTCTGTGAGAAGTTGCTAAAAGCTTCCACCATGTCCAACAGAGCCAATCTCTAATGGCTCTGAAGATGGAAATGCTGCTGTCCCAATTAGAGTGGTTGGTAATGCCTCTGTCATGATATATTTAAGAAGAAAATCAAAACAGTGCATGCACAGTTTCTTTCTAGGAGTGACAAAGCACTGCTGCTGGGGGCCATGGCCAGTGTGGCACGTGGCAATGCACTGTGGCTGCCGACATCTTGGCATGGCCCACAGTGAACCTGGCCTGCCTGGCCACCACTAGCCAAACATGCTGCAGGCAAAAAGGGCAGGGGCAGCAGTGGTGGCTTCCCCTTCCTGGTGCCCTTCATGAAGAGAGGCATTAAATAGCCCTAACATCATGGTGGCCACCACCACCCGTGCTATGGTGATGGGGCCGCATAGCGGGGAGCGGAAGCATGACAAGTGATTCCCTGACAAGGAACCTAGATGAGATCAATTTCTTGGTGCTACAAGATCTTGCAAGAATTTTTGAATTAGTGGAACTTGTTGACAATTTTACCTACAAGCAGAAGTTTTTCTTCTAGTCAGAGAAGAGGAAAAAGTGAGGACATGTGAGGGAAAGCAACATGGTGGCACCAAGGATAGTGGTAAAAAGGAGAGAGAGGAGATGCTTCAAGCATTGGAGATGAGATTCCTCTGCAAGATGTGGTGAGGGCGTTGGTAAAAAAACCTGTCCCCTTGTAATGCATGAAGTCCACGGGGGATGCAGAGATCCACTTGCAGCCTGTGGGGTAAGTGCCCACAGCAGAGTGATGCAAGCACAGTGGGTGGATGCTAGAAAAAGCTGTGGTCTAGTGGGAGACCCAGCTAGAGAAAGAGAGTGCCCCTGCTTCCATAGATAGAGAAAGAGGGCCCTTGCTTACAAACTAGAGCAGCCTATCCTTAAAAGACTACACCCCGTGGATAAGTGACCCATGCCACAACAGTTTTGGGATAACTGTTTGCCCGGGGGAGGGACCCCATGGCATAGCAGAAAAAAGACTCCGCTCCCTAAGCAATTGGAAGAAGATCTTGAGTGATGAACTGACCAAAACCCCCGTGTCCTGTCTCCCTGTGCTGTTGATGGGAAGGAGAGAGGGGCTGGGGGGGAAAAAAGGTGTTTTAAAGTCTTATTTTACTTCTCATTATCCTCCTCTGACTCTATTAATAATAAATTTACTTTATATCTTTAAATTGGAACCTGTTGTGTCGTTAGAGTGTTTTCTCCCAGTCCTTATCTCCACTTAGGAACCATACGTTAATTTTCCTTCCCCTCTCCTCTGCTCAACTGTGGCAGAAGAAAGTTGAATCCCAAAACTGGGCAAGAAAATAAAACTCTTTAGTCAAAGGGCTATAGAGCAGGTATTTGTATATTCAGCATTGGGTGAGGGGGATCCTTCAACCAAAAACTCACTCCATCTTTAGCCTTCAGTTACATTTTAAAAATCCTTCTACACAATGTCACAATTATAACATATTAAAATACTCATGTTTGCATAAAGCTGTGTCATGGTGTTATAACAGTTTGTTGTTTCTGCACATGCATCAATTCCTTCTGTGGCGGTCAGTCTTCTCGTGGTCTTTTGATGAAGGCTTCTGTAGTTTTCCTCACATTTGAACTTTTTACCTCTATCTTCAGCGCATGCCTGGTGCTTCTTGTTTTTTCAGTCTAACCTGTTTTTAGCTAATTTTGCAGTTTACGAGTTTTGTTAAAACTCACTTTTTCTGCCATCTTGCTTTCTTTGTTGTCATACTTGTTTTATCTGCACATCTCATTACAATGTTACTTTTGGTTAATCTTTTGTTACATACCACTTACGAGTCCAGTAAGCAAATTACATTCGTGGATACCTGGCATTTGGCTAGTGTCAAACCAGGACACTCTCCCAGGAAGCCTTTCCCTTGTGCTGCTGAGGAGCTGGGTTACCCCTTCCCAACCCCCATCATTTTTTGCCAATGCTCCAAGATTTCTTTGCTGCACTGAACTCATGCCCCCTGCCCTGCTGGGATGACCCACAGTTTCAGCTACAGCTGCTGAGTTTCTGATACATCTCATCTACCACTCCAGGACTTTGCTCATACCTGCCTTCCCAGCTTTCTACTCCGAAGTCCCTGCTACAGCTCCTTTTGCTATCCAGAGTGGGCACCAGGACTGGCTGCCCCTGGGGGTTTGTAAAGGAAGCCCTTTCTCCATCCCTTTCCGCCAGCTATGTCTGCCATTACTGTGCTCAAAGACACGGCTGAGCTCACTCCACAGTGCCCCCTGCAGTCGTGGGGCAATCACTGTACCTGCCCTGCCTGGCCAGGAGGCACCAGCGCCCCTGACGGCTGTGACTGTAACTACACCAAAGGGGAAATTGCTTAAAGAGTGGAAAGAGACTTTTTATTGGGTTTTTGGTTGTGTTTGTTACCAATATCGTTGTTACCATTTTTGTTGTTTGTTTGCCTTGTTATACATATACACACTAGTAATAACATACACACTCTGGTAAAGAAACATATACACTAGCTGTTACTCCTTTTCTCATATCCTTGCCTGAAAGCCCCTTAATTTCAAAATTGTAATAATTTGGCGGGGAGTAATATTTTCCATTCCAATGGAGTCTCCTGCCTTCCTTGGCAGACATCTGTCCTTCAAACCATGACAGTCATGATTCTGAGCTATGAGCAAGGGCACAGTGAACTGTTGGAGAAGGGCTAAACCGGTGGTGAGAGGAAGGACCATCACTTCTCAACTGTCTCCTGGTGTGCAATTAGAAAAACACTGGTTCTCACAAAAACTGCAACCTCACATAATGGAAGTCCATGGTCATTGCAAAAATGAGGCTTAGAGGGATGTTCCCACAGATCTGAGAGTATGTGCATATTCTCAATAAATACCTGAGGATATAAACACTTGCTGTCTACAGCAATGTGATTACTCTTGTGACCCTTATTATCTTTGGAAAAATCTGGCATAATCCTTGGGTTTGTGAAGCTTTCCTAGCAGTTAATGGAAATCAGTTCCCAGCTGCACATATCTGTTGTTTTTCTTCTTTTCCCCGGGTCCTCTAGGCTAGCTCTGGACCATGGGGGATGAGGATGCTGACAAGAACAAAGGCAAAAGACCAAGGGAGGTTCTTTCCCCCGTGGGATATGTTTCCACTGTTTATTGTAGCTTCCAGGTGGAAGATTCAGAGAGAAGAGGAAGGGCAGCAAATGGCGGGCAGTTTTAAACCGCAGGAAGGGCAGGGGAGGAACAGGACCCTGACCAATGCGGTGTACCCAAAGGGGAGGGGTGAGAGGAGGGTGTAACCATCACCATAGCTTGGGGGAGTACAGAACAAACTATTTAGTGCAACAGAACAATCATGAGCCCTGTGATACAAGGCAAACTATTTAGTGCAAACAACTATATAGTGCAATACAACACATGTCCAAAGTAAAGTGGCCTGGGAAAGTGCTCAAGCATTGCTTGGAAAAGACACAGCTTCCTCATATATACAGTTGCTGCAAATTTTAAACTGAATTTAAATAGTTTGAAAAAAATTTACCTTTTAATTGCATGTTTTAATGATGATGTCCAAATTGCAATGAAGTTTCAGGAAGTAATTTGACTGAGAGCACAGAAACTGCATATTTCTTGAATGATTAAGGGGAGAAGAGTTCATATTGTCTGCTTTACTTCAGCAAGGCTTTTGACACTGTCTGTCTCTCAACATCCTCTCAGGTAAACTCGGGCAGTGGGGGCTACATGATGGGGCAGTGTTGGGGGTTGGCTGCTTCCCCTTTCTTTCTGTGGAATTTCTCCCATTGTTATGCTAAGTAATTGTGGCTACACCTTAAAACGACAGATAATGTTCTCTCGTAGGGGGGTGGGTGGAGGGGGAGTGGGGGGAACCG